AGAGAGAGAGAGAGAGAGAGAGAGAGAGAGAGAGAGATATATATATATATATATATATATATATATATATATATATATAATGGGGTCAAACTGATTATCCTTCGGGAGAATGCGACGTTATACGCACCTTCTTCGGCTAACAAACAAGTGCGTTCTATAAAGACGCGTTGTATACGACGCCTTTCTTGATACCTTTAGACTTATGTGCACCATGAACATACGCCAATTTCAGTTTATTTTCGCACGTTCAATAACGCCGAAACTTGCATCACAGTGCAGAATAAATAGTGCCCGTTACCCGACGTTGATGGTGAGTATTCTTGACCGGAGCCGTGCTGGCCGCGCCGTCCTCGCGCGCTCTGTGTGCCTCTCGCCGGAGCCGTGCCGGCCGCGCCGTCCTCGCGCGCTCTGTGTGCCTCTCACCGCTGGCAGGAGTATCGATCAGCGCAACCACCGGGACTGCCGGTGACAGGATGCGTTTGCTGCACACAGACCCTCTCATCATGGCCTGATACAGGTCTGATATGATGTCCCAGATACTCGTGGAGCCGGCGACGTCCCTATATTAGATCCCGAGGTAGCCACCACGGATATACGCGGGTATGGGGTGACCCACGTCCGGGTTTGTCGGTGGGCGCGCCCCGTCCGATGTTGGTGGCAATAGTGTAGTAAGGTACCAGAATTACGACGGCACTGCTGCGGTTGAAACGTTAGATGGCGTATAAGAATTGAGTGAAAAGAAGGAAAAAAGGGGCGAGAGAGCTCCACCAAATTTAGACCGCATAATTGTGACGTAAGTGTGAGAGAAGGATTTACCAGATAGAGCGATTGTCTGGCGACTTGAACTCGTCGCGAGCAGAACAGTCTGCCGAGATGAAATGCGTCGTCTCCATTACCGAAACAGCAGATCGCTTACGCGTCGTTTCTCTTCGGGCCTCGGGAGACGGGGATCACCATCGTTGCCCGGTCGAGCGTCCTCCGTGCAATGCCGCGGGCTTACTGTCAGGCATCAGGGGTCGAGTCCGGGCCGGGCAGATGCACCTCCGAGCCGACAGGTCGCCGCTAATGATGCCCCGTCCGACACCGAGCCGGTCCGTGATTAATGTGTCGGCGAGCGCCGCCGGGCCAGCTGTCGGCCAAACGTGTCCCGGCTTACCGCTGTCGGCACGAAACCGCCGCAAAAACCGGCCGCGCAAAAACGCAAAGCGCCTTTAAATTTGTAATTGCTCCTGGGCGTACTCGGCATGCCGCGCATCGGCGGCAAGCGGTGGGCGGAGCGGGGTGGTAAGGTGCCGGGCGGGGGCGGGCTGATTTATACGCCGGGGGCTGACAGCCGGCGCTCGGAGGACCTTTGTGACGGCGGGCGTCCCGCGGCTCGGCGGCGGGCATGGGCCGCCGGCCGGCCGGCCCCCCGCCGCACAATTACCGGGCTGGCCGGCACGACATTGCCGGCGTCGACAGCGCTGTAAATACGCCAGTCAGGGGCCTTTGTACGCCGGCGGTGGCAAGGCAGGCCTGCCCGGCTGGCTGGACACTGGGTATGCATGCGCTGGATGGACACTGGGCATACGTGCCTGGCTGGACTCTGGACATGCAGACGCTGGCTGGACACCGGGCGTGTATGTGCTGGCTGGGCACTGGATGTGTCTGTGCTGGCTGGACACCGGGTATGCATGTGCTGGCTGGGCACTGGGCGTTTATGTGCTGGCTGGGCACTGGGTGTGTCTGTGCTGGCTGGGCACTGGATGTGCGCTGTGCACTCTGTACGCGTAGTGTCCATCCCCGTTGAAAGGTACGGTTTCACATCTGAAGGTATTGAAGCACGCATCAGATATGAAGAAACAAGCTCACTTACAACTATTGGTACAGTTCTTAAGTGGAAAAGACTGCTCTAGACAGCACAATGCTCTGTTTAGCAAATATGGTCTTCAATGCCGCATGGTTTGATTACGCCATCGTACCTTGCACAACATTGATTGAGAGCCACTTGACGACTGGTATATCTGGAAATCGTGCTCACGAACGCCAGATGGGAATGCCTCAACACTTACATTTTTCTAGGTCTTGTCTTCCGCATGGCTTGTAGAATGACGGGATTTGTATGACATTATTAGGATGTTATGAGTGTCAAGATGACTTTGAATTACTCCTCTCGATAAAACTTTCCCCATTTTCGCAGGCGTGCAGCTCAGAAATTAGGGGGGGGGGTCTTAAGAGGGGCAGGAATGCAAGCAGCACCAAAAGGTCTTCAAGATGGCTACTTCAGTTCAAAGCCCGATATAAAATTGGAACACTCCCTTTAACTGAGAACCGTCTACCAATGGGTCGCAGGCTGCGAATGCCTTTGTACTTCGAACGTTTCAGGCATTTAAATAGCAAAGCAAGCACACGTTAATAGCGCACATTATGCAAGTTGTTAAACATGCGATAACATACGATACCGAGGATGTTAGACCGTGTTTCTATGACAATGCCGGCATGTTTCAGGACCTAAGCTGATAGTACATGGTAGTATCCATTTGCGGTTAAGTGATCAATAGTTCACGCCTGTTTTGTCGGCGTCGCTACAAATCGTGCCTTGAGCCCGGTAGTGGGGACCTTAAGCCCATGTCGACAGGGGCTCAGCCAGCGCCCGAGTTATGGCCCAATCCATTCCCCTAACGACGGTGATCATATCAAATCAAATCAGCCGCTGCAGACACAGCTTTCTTCTTCGCGGCGGGGCCCCTCATCCTGATTCGCCGGCTGCGCGGCGCCCTCTGAATAAAATCACCAACACGAGCCTGCTTCCCCGCGCCCGTCGCGGGTCGACGGCTTTATTGAAAGCAAATTGCGAGCGTGAAACCCCCGGCGACGAGTCCGTTTGAAAGACTTCATGCAGTGCGGCGCTATTGTGGGGATATTTATTGGCCACGGGCTGTGCTGCGGTCGGCGGAGCGAGGCCTCGTCTCGCCTCCCGCGGGCTGCCGGCTGGCGTTGCTCTGCTGTGGGGCCCAAGGCGTCCTCCCAGAACGTCCGATGATGTTAAATGGAGAGTGGCACGGCCGGCGCGGTGGTGACCAGAGAGCATGGTCTTCACTGACGCGCAGCGCTCCACTCGGACCTTGCGTCTGTCTTTTCATGGCCACGGATGTTGCAGGCTTGCAGAAATAATTGTATTCCTTTATCGCGTCCCTATCGCCTCCATTCGAGCCCATTCACACCAATCGCCAAGCAGACTGCTGATCATCAATTTGCAGTTAGAATCAATCCCAACATCCCTCGGCCATCATTCCAGGTGGGAACGCCGCCGCCCGCATCACAAGCGCCCAGCGCCATGGGTCAGCCGGCCCATAACAGCGTCGTTGTCGCGGCGATCGCACGCTCCCCCGCCGGCCGAGGTCCATTTGGCAGCGGCTCGGGACCGCTTTCCCGATGACGGCGCCGTTCCATCCGCTCAAAGATCGGCCGCCGCGGCCGTCGACGCCGCTCAGCTCCGCCGACAGCGTCGTTGTGCCGCGGCCGAGACGGCGGCGCGCGCCGGCGGCGGCGCGGTGCTCAGACAATCTAATTTCTGGCGCGTCCCCGGCGATATTAATGCAAAGACCCAGGAACTTCAAACTTGATTAAAAGCTGCGGTCGGATCGTGGGGAACCATCAAGGTCCGACGAATATGGCGCGGCGTGCGTGATGATATTCTGAAGGGCATCAGGGATATCCCGGTCGCGGGCAGCAATCCGTAAAATGGGCACGCGCAGCTGGGAAGTGGCTGGCTCGTTTATTGAGCTCCAGACCTGCTCAAGTCATGCAAGTGAATTACCGTTCGGAACATGAAACTGACAGAGACGAACTGCCCGGTTCATGCCAGCATCAATCAACAAGAATGTTTACATTCGGTGCGCAACAGAAATATGAATATCGCAAAGCTTCACTTTCAATGTCTGGCACCCATGTTGCACTTGATTCGTTCGTCCTCGGTGACACCCGACTCAGTACGCTACCACGCCAACGCTTTCAATTCAAAACTTGACTGTGGACCGGTGCTTGCCAGACACATCATTCCGAATGTATCGCCGTTGATTCAACGACACGCCCGGTCATTGTTGCAGTATTGTTCGCCAGAGCACGACCGGCACCAGGTCTGCAATCCTTGCTTTATCGCATGGATATGTTTATTAATAATCACAGTTCAGCATATAAAATGACACAGGCACTAAAAGCAACTTCATCCGACTCACCAAACGGCTGTGGTACACGTAGAAACAATATCAAACTGTACAAAGAACAGCAGTGGTGGTGCACGTCCTTCCTCCAGTTCGCCCAGCTCGCTACCGTCCGCCATATAAAAACGCCACTCGTAAGCCCGCTGGGACCATGCCCTGTCACCGTCGGCCCGTCGAGCCAGCACTCCCCGGTCGCACGCGCCGGCGGCACGTGCTTGGGGGGGGGGGGGAGAGGACGCCGGCTGACAGGCGGCCCCGCGAGCCCGGGTCACGACCCCCGACCCCGGCGGCCGCTAAGGCGTTGGCCGCAGGCGCCGCGGCCGCGCCGCCAAAGCCCGGAGAAACACACAGAGCGTTGAAACGGGATATCGACATCGCCTATAGAGCGCAGCGGGACTTCGTCCCGGCGCGGGTACACACACGCACACGCGAGAGACGCACGACGTGCACCATCCGCGTCCCCACTGCCGCGGGGGTCGGTTCAGGCACGTGCGGAGATCGCCCCGCCGCTGCACGCGCCAGGGCCTTGACTAGGAGCCCCGGGGCTGGCTCGGCACCGGCGCCACGCGCCGCCCCTCGACTGGAGCAGCGGGGCTCCCCGTTGCCCGCCGCTATATCACAGACAGAACCGTCCCCGGCCGGTCAGCTCGGCTCCTGGTGAGCGTCGCACGGTTAGGAACACGCGCCGGCCGCGCCGCCGCGCTATGAAGTCCGTGGCCGGGGCAGCGGCGGCGTCTCACGAACCCGACTCGTTGCGGTAGCCGAGGTTCTTCCTCTGCAGGAAGAGGTGAATCTCGCGGAAGGTTGGGCCGGGTCGAGCGGGTCACGCCGCCAGCACTCCAGCAGCAGGTCGTAGATCTCACGGGGACAATCGTGTGGCTGCGGCAGGTACACCTGGAACGGAGGAGACGGCTGCTAGAGCTGTGGTCCAGCTCGCACGGCTGCTTGCATTGCCGTGGGAGATGCTTGACGGTCCGCCGCACCCCGCCGTCGTATCGCGTAATGGGGCTGTCGGCCGCCGCACCGCCACCTGGGCCCAAGCCGACGCTCTGGAATTCATCGACTTCGACGCTTTGATATGCTAAAAGCCTACACGGCCACGCAATGCAGCTTTCCATTTGAGTTGGCTATTGTCACGGCACCGGACTATCTAAGCAGGCAGCAGTCGTAAATGGGTAGGAACCGCGCTTTATGGCCGATTAGGCCAACACGTCGCGTCGTCATTCCTCCCCTGTCGCCAGGGCAAACACGGCGCGCCTTTGCTGCCAGCGACGACGCGGTGCACCAATAGGACACGCTTTCTCTGGAGCGCCGACCGGACCGGAGGGCAATCACGCCCGCCCCGCCTCTTTCCGCCCGACCGCCGCCTCTCCGCTGCGACGGTCGGGGCGCCGCGTCCGAAGAGAAGACCGCCCGCACTCCTGAGGGGTTCTGCAGGGCGCCACGTACCCGCCGGTCACGCTAGATGAGTTCGCAGGGCCGCAGTGAGGCCCATCTGGCCTCCTGTCTGACAGGCGCGAGACATGGCAGCGGCCACCGCACCACTGGATGTACGCTGCAGGCGGAAGGTGTAGCGTTGCATGAAGAGATGGTGCAAGAACACGGGATCCTATCGTGGTGCACCTGAGTGCATTGCAACGCTGTGTTCTCTACGGGTAAATATCTATGCATACTTGAATGTGAGGCCCTTTGCTCCGACAGCAGACACCTTTGTCCCAACACGCGTCCCAGCAGCGGTCGCCGTCGTTCCACCAACGGTCTCCGCCGTCCCAGCAGCGGTCGCCGTCGTTCCACCAACGGTCTCCGCCGTCCCAGCAGTGGTTCCCGTCGTCCCACCAGCGGACTCCGTCGTCCCAGAAGCGGTCCCCGTCGTCCCACCAGCGGTCCCCGTCGTCCCAGAAGCGGCCCTCCTCGCCACAGCAGCGGTTCCCGTCGTCCCCGTCGTTCCAGCAGCGGTCTCCGTCGTCCCAGAAGCGGTCCCCATCGTCCAACCAGCGGTCTCCGTCGCCCCACCAGCGATCCTCGTCGTCCCAGTAGCGGCCCGTGTTGTCCCAGCAGCAGTCTCCATTGTCCCAGCAGCGGTCCCCGTCGCCCCACCAACAGTCTCCGTCGTCCCACCAGCGGTCCCCGTCGCCACAGCAGCGGTCCCGTCGTTGCCGACGCAGGGTCGATGGCGCGGCGATCGGTTGGCGCCGGCGGCCCGGTCCCGGGGGACACTCCCCGCCACGGCAGGGCGGCTATCTCTGCGAGCGCTGAGCCACGGGGATCGCCAATATCAGTCCACCAAACACAACCCATATTGGGTCCCCGCGCTCCAGGCTGACAGCCCTGTCGACCCGCGGCGACTGGGGCGTGCTGGAGCGGCTCCGTGCAGCCTTGTCATCGCACACATCATCTTCGACGCTTCCTGCCGCACATACTCGGCGCACTGCTGCCGACGCCGCCGCCGCCCGTCGCTCGGCGTGCGAGACCGTCGAGGCGGGCAGGCGATGACCACCGTCCAGCCGGGAGAGACGCGCCCGCCGTGCGGAAAGCGATCCGGAGGCAGCGCAGCCTGGGCGCGGCAGCCGCCTGCGCCGCGGTCTAATGACACGGCCGCTGATGGCTGCCGACCGATGCACGTAACTGATCGCGGCGCGCGATGGAAGTGATTGCAGGCGCACAAGGCAGCGATAGCCGGGCCGGCGATTAATCGATATCGCCATTACGAGCGCGGGGCGACAGCTGCTCAGAGGCAGAGGCGCTCGTCGCAGTGCGGCTTCCAAGGTAATGGTGCCACCAGTGCAGTGGCACGGCATGGTGGGACGCATTGAAAGGAATGACATGCCTTGGGTGGTTGCAATGCGCCCTGTTATGACTTCTGGATCCAGTGGGGGGAAGGGTGTTCTCGTGCTCAAAGTAAGTTTTACGAGGCTATCCGGGGGAAGCGTCACGTCTAAAGTTCAGTGGGATGTGTGCCTCGATCGATCACATGGCTCCCTCCCAAATAGTGTTGCTGGGCGCGCCTCTGACTGTCGGCGCGCGGGTTCATCAGCTATGTCCCAAGCAGCGTGGCTGGGCGCGCCTCTGGCTGCCGGTGCGTGGCTATGTCAGTTATGTCAAGCACGTTGACTTGAGACAGACGCGGCCCATTCATTAGTGATTATGTGACCATAAACTGCGTAATGCGCATTCTGCGCGGTTTACGATTGGTAAGGACGGGAGCGCGCCCTAAACATAAGTTATAAGGCATCCATCTGACGGCTCTCGCAAACTACACCTAATTAGTTACGTCTTCCGTGGGCGATGTTTATCGATGGCTCTCGTTCGCAGCATCAGCCTCTCCCTCTCCCTCTTCCCAAGGGTTAACAGCGCCGGCGTCTTTATCCTATTGCAGCGACAGTCCCCGCCCAGCCGTCGTGCTAATGCAATCCTCCATCAATGCCCGCCGTATACAAATATCATTACCCAAGCTCCCCTCGTCGTTAGCGACCTGTCCAACTCCCCGAGGCGTTGCTGCCAAATCAGATGGGGTCCCTGACAGTGGACCGAGTCGGGGCGCACGCGCTCACCGCCGCCAGGAATTTACATAATTGTGTTTTATGTGGGCGCGCGGGCCGGGCCGGTGAGAGAAGCCGCGTCTCTGGGGACGGGGAGAGGTGCCGGCGGCCATCTGCCCCTCCTGGCCGGGGCCGGACGTCCGTCGGCGCCCGGCGCATCACCCGGGCGCGGCGCCGCCACGCTCCGTCGCCATACCTTCAGCGACGCGCGCGCGCGCGGCGGAGGATCGGCGGCGCGCGAGGAACAGGACCAGGACGCGGCGACAGGGCGCAGGCCACCACGGGCGACGGACACGCCGGTGGAGCCCCGCCGGCGGGCCGGCGGCACCGGGGCGCCAGCGCCAGCTGCTGCCGCCGCAGGGACGCGTGGCACGGACGCCAGCGCCGCCGCATCGCCATGGCAGGAGCTGGGCCGACACGGACTGAGGTGGACATCACCCGTCGCGTGTCGGGCCTCAGGCGTTACCGGTTGTAGGCCGCGTGCGCCGAAGTAGCCCGTTGGCTGAGGACACGATGGGAGGCGGAGTCGTTCCGGCCAGGAGTAACACAACGCGGAACTTCGTAAAATGCAGTTAGCGTCAGATAAATTCCCTTGCCATTGGGGTCGGGCTTGTTTGGCCGGGCGACGCTGCAATGTGACGTGTCGGGAGGCCGCTGTGCTTTACGGCATTTTGACGGCTCCGCGGCGCTGCCGCCGCGTCGCTGTAAAACAGCGCTATCGGCGGGCCGCCGGGTGCTTCAGGCCGCGATGGTTTGGTTTGGCACGCTGGGCGGTGAAACACATGACCGCTACGCCCCAGATCGGGCGCTGCGCGCATCTGATTGGACTCGCGTTCGGAACAGCGCTAGATCAGCGCGCCGCCGGCTGGCCAAGTCGGAAGTGCTGCAGCGATGACAAAAAAGAGCTTTTGCCGAGGAGAAAGGCTTTTGGCCGCTCTAACGTTTATATTTACAATTTTCAGTGTCGAAAGGGAACAGTATCAGAATGTGTTTATACCGAAACAGTGCGTTGATGCACGTGCTTACGCGAGGCGCGCTTATGACGACGCGTCATCGAAGCAGATCTCGCATATGTAAGCTGCCTGTCGCTGTGATAGAGCTGGGCCAGCGTCTCAGTGGCTCACCTGCTGCGCGTCGTTGTGATAGAGCTGGGCCAGCGTCTCGATGACGCGCTCATCGGTCATCTCTTCGTAAGGCTGCTGGCGCGCGTAGGTCAGCACCTCCCACAGCGTCACCGCAAACGACCAAACGTCCGACTTGGTGGTGAATTTACCCTGCGGATACACACATTAACAGAGCTGGTACGCAGGGTGACGTCAGACTGTGCACGACCACACCGTGCGGATACAGAAGTTGATGATGGACACTAAGTCACATTATGAATGCGTTCTCAAATCGGCGATAAGATAATTTCAGCACAGTCGTGAATCTGTCGGACTCCATTCAGGATATTTTCACTCACATAAGTTAAGAGCGAGAACAGCAATCGTTCCAAATGCAAAGCGGGCACGACATTGCACTTAGCCGTCAGTAAGCCCCTGGGATATGTGTGTAGGCATAAGATGGGTCTTCGAAACTACATGCGAATCCCATTAAAGCACCATCTGGCAAATAACGGCGCATAGCTTCCTTTCAGCGAAAATTTCAGGCCAAATATGGATTAGACGTACAGACAAATTGTCAGAAATATCGGTGGCATATGCGGTACTTCCTGTAGCGAGGTGTGTTGTGTTGCGCAGACCCCTTTTTCACGCTTGCTTGCGTGGCGTTGATATCAGAGTCTTCCCTGAGCTTGGTGTGTGGAAGCTGACATCACTGGTTCAGTGATCTGGACTACCGAATGGTTTTGGTCCATCCTATTAATCAGCTTGTTCCGGGAATTCTACCGTGCCATACATTGCACGGCCGCTTGATGGTGACGTTCCCCTGCCTATGGGGAGAAGTGCGACGCCGAAGTGCAACTCAGGACATCCGGTTGTTGCCCGCCCGCACCCCGCGCCTGACACTCGTTCAGTGACAAAGCTGGTGCCCCACCCATTAACATCGCAGCTTCTTCGTAGGCCATGTCTGTTTTAATAGCGATTGACAAGAAACGTAAAATCAATTATTGCACTCAGCAATTTGCAAAACATTTTACTACAGCCATGAGCGTAGCACGCCTGAAATGCTAATGAAGTCCATTCATGTTTCGGTGTCGTTTGATGAGGTCCGATGAGGTCATTTGATGAGGTCACAGGAGTGTCCGATCTGCCCAAGAGTTACTGGGATCCGAACCCAATCAGCCCCAGTGGCGGTTACTCCTCGGGCTTCAGCTAAACGTCATGCATGAAATCTGTTGAAACAAAGGTTGTTTGAGCAGCTGTCCTCCGACAGCTTGACCAGCAGCAGCTCCTCGTGTCCAGGTCCCTTCGAGA